TTTACTTTACATTTATAGCTCAAAAATACCTAGAAAAACAGACATTCTGACTCTGAGTGGGGTCGCCTCTCCACAGATCTGACCTGTAACGTGGTCTGGTTTGGTCCCCATGGTGATAGAAAGGTTTAATGCCGTACTGCGAATATAAAACATGCGTTCGGGTGTATTGTATTATTTCAAACACGTTGAGATTAACTGATATTAATTATCTCTGGTCCTGGTCTGGTCCCGGTCTAGTCCTGATCTGGTCTTTGTCTAGTCCTGGTCTGGTCCTGATCTGGTCTCGGTCTGGTCTTGGTCTGGTCCCGATCTGGACTCTGTCTGGTCCTGATCTGGTCCCGATCTGGTCCTGATCTGGTCTCTGTCTGGTCCTGATCTGGTCCTGATCTGGTCTCTGTCTGGTCCCAATCCTGTCCCGATCTGGTCCCAATCTGGTCCCGATCTGGTCTCGGTCTGTTCCCGATCTGGTCTCTGTCTGGTCCTGGTCTGGTCCCAGTCTGGTCCCAATCTGGTCTCTGTCTGGTCCTAGTCTGGTCCCGATCTGGTCCCGGTCTGGTCTCGATCTAGTCCCGGTCTCATCCAGCAGACTACACAGGTGCACCTCCAGGTCCGTCCCGACACGGGGTCAGTCCAGGTTTAGTCCTGGTTTAGTCCTGGTTTAGACCTGGTTTAGACCTGGTTTAGTCCTAGTTCAGTCCTGTTTTAGTCCTGGTTCAGTCCTGGTTCAGTCCGTATGCGGCGCAAAACTCTGGCATTGCAGTTTAAGTCACGGAAACAGGAAACAAAAAACGGGAGCAAAATTTGCCCTGTCCAAGCTCAGAAATATTGTACAAGCTGCTTTAGAGGACAAAATAAATCTGTTGTTCTGTCTGCATATAATATAAAGCCTTTTTACTGTCTGAAAATCAGGAAGTGTGTGATTAGCTTGCTTGCAGTTGTTATATTTAGCATCTCTGAAAAACTTTGGCTCACTGCAAACTGTTTCAAATAACAAAAATCTGGTACAGCAGCGTTAAAACCCAGAATGACCACAACTGTAATACTTTACAAATGACAAATCTTATTACGTTAAAGCCTCGTGGTGCAACTAAAACCTGGAACAGACGTCCTGAAGATGTGAGACAGGCCTCTACTTTGACTCTCACAACACTTCTGTTTAGCTGTGCATATGACATTCTGCACTCTTCTCTCTAATTTAATGTCTCTCGCTCTTTTTAATTTTACGATGATTATTTATGTTTTGATTTGTTTGTATCGTGATTTTAATGTATTTCTTATTCTGTAAAGCGCTTTGAATTACTTTGTATATGAATTGCGCTATACAAATAAACTTGCCTCGCCAAAAATTACACTGAAAAACAGAAAGACGTGTGTGAGCAGCCGAGCATCTCCAGTCTCTTACTTGCTCTGGAAAAGGGGCTCCACCTGCTTGTTTCCAAGGTGATTTTGTTCCTTTGGCTACAATTTTTGCTCTTATTTGACTAGTTTTTGTCTTAACGAGGACTAGTAGAGTTATTAAATAGATCTTTATTTTATACTCCCATTATGTTGTTTTTATCTGTATTGTATCTCTGGAATACAATATTGTGAATATGTTAGATGTTGTGAAATGTGCTGTATAAATTCTAGCGGATTACCTTATTTTTTGGACTATAAGGTGCACTTAAAATCCTTAAATTTCCTCAAAAATCAACAGTGCGCTTTATAATCCGGTGTATCTTATGTATTAATTTTGTTTGTGCCTTTGTTGTGTCCTTTAGTCTGACAGAAGCTGACCACATTAGTGCACAAGGAGCGTGCTTTTTTTTTCCCCCAGCACTTATAGTTTATGCAAATGAGCCATGTAGTTTTAAGTTTTGTTTCTGTAAAATGTAAACAAATGTGCGCAAAGCTGAATTAAACACATTATTACTCAATGTATATTTGAGTCGTCCTTGTAGGAAATAAAAAAACAAACTTAATGATCTACCCACATTCACATTCATAATACACATTCACCAAGACAGAGAGGCAACTTCGGGCGAATTACGCCGCAATCTGCCAATGGATCGTGGATGTCCGGGGTTAAAGGATCAGTCTCAAGTGTCGTCCGTTTGATTTGCTTAATGCGCCTTATAATCCAGTGCACTTTATGTATGAAAATAGATGAGAGAATTCAACATTATTGATATTGCGCCTTATAATCTGGTGCGCTTTATAGTCCAAAAATTACGGTAGATTGGATTGGCTGTAATATTCCACAGTTGGGCATAAAACATCTCTATTTCCATGGAGGATGTTCTGAATTTAGCAATGTGCCACTTCTAGAGACAGAAACGGCTCTACCTTCCATTTATTCAATTACAAATGGTGGTTTTACAGCTCAAAAATTCCTAGAAAAACAGGCGTTCTGAGTGTGAGCGGGGTCATCTCTCCACAGATCTGACCTGCAACTTGGTCTGGTTTGGTTTTCATGAAAATAGAAAGGTTTAATTCCATACTGCGAAACATTCCAGATAAACCAATAACATCTTCATAGAGAAATGCATTTGACCAACACTTCATCAGAAACATTTCAAAATGCACCTTTAAACTACATCAGACCTATTGTCTCTAACGCTCCTCAAAATCTAAATAACTCCAGCGAGCAGCACAACAGCATTTACCTCTTAACCTTATCAAAAGCATCTTATTCAATCTGAAATCTCCACCATCCGTCTTCTGAACCCATTTAGTCCAGTGCTGCCCAGAGAATACTGCTCACAGCACTTTAAATTGCCTCTTCCCCCTGCTCCGGTGGGACCCTCCTTTATGTGATGGGGAGATAAGGAGCAGGCCGGGGCTCTCTTGTCAAGGCAGTGGGAGCTTTTCAGACCGTTTTCCAGCACCTTTCTCTTCCACACTCACACTTTAAGCTGTTGACCTGTCACCGCTCCACCGCTTCTCTGAATACAAGCAAAAGATTCAGATTTTCCTTCCAATTCCAAATAAGTAAAGATTTGCATGCATGTGTAGTCAATGTGGTAGAAGCAAGGATGTTATCTAGTTTAAAAAAGATGCACCAAACTGGGACTAAATCAGGACTAGAACAGGACCAAACCAGGTCTAAAGGTGGTCAAACTATTTTACCATATTTTTCGGACTATAAATCGCACTTTTTTCAAGATTTGGATGGTCCTGTGACTTATACTCCTGTGCGACTTATATATTAAAATTTTCAGTATCTGTTACTCCTATTACTCCTGTACCATTGTCACTTGGCTGTACTGCGCATGTCTCCTGCAAAAAGAGCCTCTGTCCTGTCTGTATCATGTCAGTCGATCGCACCATTACTTCTGTGTCACTGAACAATTTAACATTTAAACAAACTTATAAAGACAACTGAGAAGACTGAACACAAATATGCCCAAAAAGAAAATAATATTTTGCAGATTACAAGCTGCAAGTCATGAAATATGCAGCCAAAAAAAGTCATCGAGCAGCAGAAATAAATTTTGGAGTGAGCGAGAAACTTGTGACACCAGGAGGATGCAACATGTAACTTTCCTGGAGGTTACTGGATGGATCGACAAAGCCTGGACTTCAGTGACACCGAAACCATCCTGTCGGGATTCAGAAAGGCTGGAATAATTCTAACTGGAACTGATGCCGAGTCTGACGACAGCTACACAGAAGAGGAAGTGGGACTCTGTTTACCTCCGGAGGTCGTAGAGTTGCTCAGAAGTGACACCGAGGATGAAGAATTCAATGGATTTAGTGATTATGAGTGAGATGGAGAGTTTGTTAAACTTGTTCTGTTCTGTTGTTTATGTTATAGTTTATCTGAAGAACTGTTCATATGTGACGTTAACAGTCTGTTGTTCTCTGTTCTATTGTTTTTACTAGAACTTGACTTTCAAGATGAAATGTCGGCTCCTGGTCCGTGATTTTATCAAATAAATGTGACTTATATATGTGTTTTTTTCTTTTTCAGTTTTTTTGGCTTGAGCAAGTTTTAGTCCAAAAAATACGGTACTTATATCAAAACTAAGCCAAAGTTCAAGTTGTTTACATGAAAGTTTATATTTTTAACTATATTCTCTTTAGTTATTGAGCTTTGTAGTAGTCTAGACTGCTCTTAGACTTTTTTTAGCCTGGTATGGGCTCTCACCCCCATCACAGGTCAAATCAGTCCTGCGGGGGCATGTTTGGGTGCCCATAGCTCTCTGGTCTCAAAAGAAAAAAGACTTTTAGAGTTTTCTACCACGTTGTTCCCGTAACAAAAACTTCTCTGAAGAGGTTTTAGACAGCGTCCATGCATGTTTGAGTAATTTTGCAATCTCTCCCGGGCCCTATTTGAATCCCCCTTATGGTTTGCTTTAAGATTTGTCCATTGTTCAGCCCACAAGCCTACGTCATTCAAGCTCCCACACGACAATTTCCCATAAATATACAAAAGTGTGATACGAAACAGAGCACAACGAGTTCACAAACCTGAGGCGATGTGCAGCAGTATCATCATAGGAATGGATGCAGAATGTTATGTAATAATGTTCTATAGGGGAGTGAATATGTTGTGTGTTAGAAGTTAATACCTCAAAGAACTAAAATATAACCTCTTAAAAGCAGTTTTCAAATGGTGAAATCGCTCAACTCAAGAAATTTATGCCAGATGAATTCAAATAAATGCTGTCTGTGTAATCTTAGTCAACCGAGGTAACAATATTCAAAGTCTCGTTACAATATTTATTGCAATATTTTGTGGCGGTGAACAAAACTGTGAATTAATCCAAAGAACTAAGATTTAAAAGTGCTTATAATGGTTATTTCTTCATGTAGTCTGCAGTAAAATGAAGCAAAGGATCATGGTCTATGTAGTTTCCTCTGTTTTTTAGCTATTGCTGCACGATAATTATTAATTTAAGACGTATATATTGTTAAGGTCCATGATGTTGTTGTGAGACCTTTGGCGGTCCGGTTATTGTTACATCCCTAATACAATCAAAATTGAATTCCTCTAGTGTCTGTCAGACATCACTCACCCAGCATGATGAGGGTGGTGGTGCCCTGTTCGTTGCCCGTGGGGTAGGTGGCGTATTCACAGGTGTAGCGTCCGGCGTCGGCCATCTTGAGGTCGGAGATGCGGATGGACGGGTTTTCCAGGCTGTTGTGCAGAAACACCACCCGGTCCTTGAATTCCGGGTTTGGAAAACTCTGTCCGTACGTGGGATGGTACACGGCGATGTTGTCCCGCTGTCCGTCTATGGGCTCCCAGATCCAGGACACCTACAGACAGAGAGGTAAAGAGAGACAAAAAGAGAGGGAAGTGTTTTATTTTACTCTGCAGAGAAAAGCACTAGAAGATGTATTAAAAACATTGTGAATCCAAATAGTATGAGTAAACTTTATTTTATGTTGGTTTAACCTCAATCCAAGCTGGTTAACCAACTGTTATTTTAGGTCTTTTGTTGGACTGTATTGAGACTTGCAGGGTTCCCACTCTTTTTCACTGACTACATTTCAAAACGTTTTGATGACTTTTTCATGACTTAAAGTGAATTTTCCATGACTTTACAGCACCTACATGTGTAGAATTAAGCATATTTTATGGTTAAATATGAAATGTTAACCCTTTCCACTCACCTTATAGTTTGGCATTATAATTATTTTTTTTTACTTTCAAGGTACTGTCATTGCATTTATTATTGTCTCTTTTAAACAAAAGGCGCATATGTTTGTAAATAATTATAATAGCCTCATGAGAACTTAACAGAATGCTGCATTTGCGTGAAAGAGATACTAAAATTCTATGACTGGCGGCCTGGGTCAATTTCCATGACTTTTCCAGGATTTCCATGACCGTGGGAACCCTGTACTTTGCAGTGTCATCATGTGATCATGTCATTAATAATAATGCATGTACATTTGCAAAAAAATTTGTCAGTATTGGTTAAAAAGGTTGAAGTAAACAGTTAAACCTTTTGTACTGAAGGCACCAACAAGTTTTAAGTTTTGTGTACTTGTTATGTTTTGTCAAAAATGATATACAATATTACTTACAATCTTCTTAAACTTTTAGGGTATGTACTACTTAAAGATAGACAGTTTGTTAACTCAAAAACAAGTTTTTGTACTCAATTATGTAATCAGTTTCATCACTTTTTTTGAGTAAGTGCTAAATTGTCGGGTTTTACAGTGCAGTGTTTTCTTTTTGAGAGAAGAACTCAGCCTAAATATGCAGGACTTATGTGTTAAACATGCGTAAATGAAATAAAACACAACCCCAAGTATGTTTTTAATGAGGAAACAATATTATAACATAAAAAGCATAATATGGGCCTTTTAACACATTGCAAATTATTTCTGGATTCATTTCAAACCAAAACTTTTTATTTCTATTCTTTACGACAATCAACATTTCCAGTTTGCTTTTCAAGTAATTATTCCATCAGATTACCTCACAAATGTACCAAGGCTAGTGTAACGGAGCAAAAGTAATTCTTGTATAAAAACCTTGAAAGCTACTTCAAAGCAGACCGTGAACCAAATCCGCTGAAAGCCCGGTTGAACAGTTCTGTGCTATTTAATATAATTTAGGCAAAAGGAGTCAGGTAGTGATATGAGAGGGAGTGAGTAATTCATAAATGCTAACGTGCGCACCGCCGTAGCCATTAGTGCACCATCTTCATCAATTAAAACAGCCCGAAACACCAGCCAAGAATCTACTCGCAAATAAATCAAAATTCTCTCCGCCTTACAGACGCTCTATCAAGGTCCCACTTTATTAAACTTCAATTACCAACTACATTTTTCACATTTGCAAGTCTAAACATGAAGGTGCTGCCAGCGGATTTCGCAAATGGTTTCTTTTAATATCTCTCTATATTGGCCATAAATGACAAAAATATATTGATAATTAATCCGTGTATCATTCGTTCATTCGTTTTTCAATATAAAACCAAAAATAAGAAAACGAAAAAACAACAGTTTTCTTCGTTATTTGTCTCCAAAACCAAAATGAAAAAACGGATAACGATTCGTTTTTTCAGTTTTCGATTTTGTGTTTAAATGAAGAATGGAAAAAACGGATAACGGCCGTTTCCCGTTTACGTGACTTCCGTGACTGCGATGCCGGACTTTTGCACCGCATACGGACTGAATCAGGAAGGATCCAGGTCCGAGACCAGACCGAGACCAGAGCGGGACTGAGACCGGGACAGAGCTGCTCTGGTCCTCCGCGCTCAAGAACCGCGGCTGGTTCCGAGGTGGTGCAAAGCCTCCGACTGACGCATTCACACCAATGAAAATGAATCGAACTAAGAGCTTTTGGTTCAAATGGACCAGGTCCGGGACCAGACCGGGACCAAAGCGCTACTGAGACTGGGACCAGACCGGGACCAGAGCGGGCCTGACACCGAGACCGAGACAAACCAGGACCAGACCGGGACCAGACCGGAGGCTCAGAGCCCACGGCAGGGCCGGAGCTCGAAGCTGAGGCTCGGACCCCGTGGAGACTCGGAGTCAAAGCTCGGAGTCCGACCTGGGCCCGCTCTGGTCCTGTCTGGTCCCGGTCTCAGTCCCGCTCTGGTCTCGGTCTGGTCCCGGTCTCAGTCCCGCTCTGGTCTCGGTCTGGTCTCGGACCTGGATCAGTCCTGGTTCAGTCCGTATGCGGTGCAAAAGTCCGGCATCGCAGTCACAGAAGTCACGTAAACGGGAAAACGGCCGTTATCCATTTTTTCCATTCTTCATTTAAACACAAAATCAAAAACTGAAAAAACGAATCGTTATCCGTTTTTTCATTTTGGTTTTGGAGACAAATAACGAAGAAAACTGTTGTTTTTTCGTTTTCTTATTTTTGGTTTTATATTGAAAAACGAATGAACGAATGATACACGGATTATAATTACCGTAGCGGATGTTACGTGTGAGTCATTTTCTGCGTAAATGACGTCACTGCGGAGCAACAATTCAAGGAAGGAATTTGTGTCCATTAAATATCACTTTTTTTTTTTTGCATTGTGTAACTTTTCTGGTGGAGGATCTGTTGAAAAACTTTTCTCCGATGTTATTGCTTTGTCTGGAATGTGTCACGGCGTGGTATTAAATCTTCACGGAGACCAAACCAGGCCAAGTTACAGGTCAGGTCTGTGGAGAGGCGAACCCGCAGCAACCTCACAGTCAGAATGTCTGTTTTTCTAGATATTTTTGAGCTATAAAACCACCGGTAATCGAATAAATGTAAGGTAAAACTGTTTAATGTTGTCACAGTTCTGCCGTTTGTTTACATGTTTTTTCATTCTCTAATCATCCCATACTCATTTATATTTACTCCCTCCGTTCATTCAGTCTTTGCTAAATTGTTGACCTGTCAAGACGCACACTCAAGCTCTTGATCTGAAACTCTGAACCTGAATTCTGTTGTTTGCATTTTGTGCAATTATGCTTTATTCCCTGTTTGTAGTATCTGTTTGAGTTTATTTCCAGCCCTTCCTAGTCTTGGAAGATATCTTAGTTCACATTAAATAATTTTTCAGGCTCATTTGCTATTTTAAACATCACCTGTTATAGGACAATTTCTGCTATTGAACTATGGCGATGTTCAGACTGCAGGGCTTAACGCTCAATTCCGATTTTTTTGTAAAATCCGATGTTTTTGCGAGGTCGTTCACATTTCCAATTAAATGCGACTTGTATGTGATCTCCAGTGTGAACTTTAAATGGCCCGAAAGTGTCCCGCATGTGCACTGGAGACACGACGACGTCAACCGCAGTGAGCGTGCTCTGTGTTTACGGAAGTTGTCCAAACATGGACGCGAGCATTGAGCACCTGGAGATTTTAAAGTTCCTCTCGTACCGGAGCCAGAACATGAAACAACTTACTTGTTTTAAGGAGGAGATTGAGAAGAGAGAAGGACGAGGTTTTTGGCCGTGGCGTTTTGTGGGGCAGTGGCAGCGACGTCTGTTGAAAGGAACGTGTGGATGTGGAGATGGAGCCAAAGAGTGGTGAGTGGTGATGTGCTTCACTTCAGTGACACGGAGTTCATTAACAATTTTCACCTACTTCAGCGCAGAATAGTGACGTTTGTGGCTTGTTGATAACGTGTAGGTCGGATTCATGCGCTTTGACCGTTCAGACTTAAGTCACATGTCAAAAGATCAGACATGTATCGGTTTCAGGACCACATTTCGAAGTGGCCTGGGTCGCATTGGAAAAGATCGGATCTGTGTCTGTGAGGGTTCTCCCTGCTCCTCCTACCCCTCCTGTCCCTGCTCCCTCTTCCCTTCTCTCACCTTATTTGGTTTTTCCTGGGCGGGCCCCCAAATCATCTCACCTGCTGAGCTCCACTCCTGATCCTCGTCAGTAATCATCTCCGGCAATAAAGGACCTGCTGACCTGCTCTCCAGTGCCAGATCGTTCTGTCAACCAAGTGGTGAACTACTCCGGCTTTTTGTGTTTTTGAGCATTTTGAAGGGTTTTGACTCTTGTTTACTTTTGTCTGTTCCCCAGTTCAACCGTTTTGGAGCCAGCCTCATCCCGTTACCACCTGTTCCGCAAGCCTCTGGTCAGCCTCTTCACCATTGCACTTCAGCCAACCTGGACCCGTCCTACCTCCCCTGGAATCTATCCCCCCGTCCACGACTATTTTAGTTAATAAATACTTTTGTAACTGCATATTTGGGTCTGACCAGTGATTCCGTAACAGTGTCGTTCAGACTGTCATTAAAAGATCAGATACAGGTCACATAGAGGCCAAAAAAATCGTATTTGGGTCACTTCAGGCTGCAGTCTGAACGTAGCCTAAGACTTTGTTTGCCTGTGTGCTTGTGTTGCATTTGAGTCCAGTTTACCTGCGTAATAAATGTCATACTGTGGAACATTCCAGGCAAAGCAATGACATATCCATAGAAACAAGAAGGTGACAGACTCCCAAAGACCTTTAATGGTGCACTATGTAACTTTAACCACAAGGAAATCCAGGCATAAGTCGCAAGAGGAAAAGTCGAGTTAAAAAGGCTTTATTTAAATGGCCAGTTTAAAGGCCATTTAAATAAAGGCCGTTTAACTCGACTTTTGCTTCTTTGGAGTGTCTGGATTTTGTCGTGTCTAAAGCTTTGATCCTTTTGCACCCTCTACCTGTTCTCACTGATTGGAAAACCTGCAGCAAACAGACACATTTTTGTTTTTTTCTGCTCTATGTAACTTGTTTGTATTCACGGAGATGCCATTGCTTTGTCGGCATTAACTCTTTATATCATATAAGATAAGAGAGAAAGAAGAGTAAAGTGTGTGGACGTGTCTGTGTTTACACTTTTAATAAGAATTCCAATTAAAGTTTTATAAATGAGACTCCAGATCTGTGAAGTTCTTCATGTAGATGACGAGCAGAACTTACTGTAGATCATCTTTAATAATAAGCCAAAGAGAATCATTGTTTTCATTGGACCTGTGGCTTCTTAGATCAAGCTTTAAAGCAGGCCTATTATACAAGAATCTTTTAACCAGATTACAGTTGTTTCCTGTCACCATTTTCAAAGTTCAATGTTCAAAGTTAGGTTTACTGTCAATTCATTCACATGTTCTAGGCAAGGCAAGTTTATTTGTACAGCACAATTCGTACACAAAGTAATTCAAAGTGCTTTACAGAATAAGAAATACATTAAAATCATAATAAAAACAAATCAAAACATAAATAATCATGAAGATTAAAATTTTAAAAAAGAGAGACATAAATTGGAGAGAAGAGTGCGGAATGAAAACCTTTCAGTTATATGCACAGTTAAACAGAAATGTTTTGAGTCTGGATTTAAACAGCGTCACAGAAGAGTCTGTCTCACATGTTCAGACTGTTCCAGGTTTTAGCTGCATGAACCTGAAACTCTGACTCCCCTTGTTTAGTCGTGACTCTGGGCACCAGCAGGAGGCTGGTCCCTGAGGTCCTCAGAGTGTGAGATGGTTCATATGACACTAACATGTCACAGATGACTTTGGTGCTCGGCCATGGAGAGACTTGTACAAGCAGAGCTGTTTTAAAGTCTATTCTCTGAGGCACAGGAGCCAGTGCAGAGACCTGAGCACAGGACTTATGTGCTCGTACTTCCTAGTTCGAGTAAGAACCCGAGCTGCAGCGTTCTGGATGTTCTGCAGCGTCTCACAGCTCGTTTGGAGAGACCAGTGAGCAGACCAGAGACCAGTGAGCAGACCACTAGACATACAAAGAATCAAAATTGTGTTTCTCTCTATTCCATGTATCTTAAATAAATAAATAATACATGGTAAATAGTGCAAAAGTGCAAAAGGCATCAAGTACAAAGCACAAGACAGTCTTTTTTAGGTGGGAATTAGGAGAGTGTGAGTCCAGATGTTCTTTGGGGAGTTTTGTTCTTGGGGAGATGCAGATTTCTAGCTTCCTAGTGCCTGGTGGTTACAGAGGGGAGAGAGTTCAGCATCCTAACAGCCTGGTAGATGAAGCTGTTCTGGTGGTGCGGCAACAGAGGCTCCTGAACCTCCTCCGCAACTGTGATTTCTCACTCGAAGTTGTATCTGAAGTGATTCGTGCATGTTTGAGTAATCTTTAATCGTTTATTTTCATATTTTCAAGACGCCTTTTTTGGTGATCAACTCATTTTCGCCGGCACTGCCCACTGCTCTGTACTTACTTCATTCTCTTTTTTTCCCTTTTTTTTTCTTAATTGGTAATACACGCCAAATTCAGCCATGTTGCGCAACCATTTAGGTACAAATGGGGAAAAAAAAAATCCTGTGGCAATCCATTGGAGGTGTGGACAGCTTTACGGCTCTTTGTTTTGTTTTTGTTTACGGCGACATCAGCTTCCATTTTTAACGCGGAAATAAGTGTCTTGTTTCTTTTATTATGTAATTTTAAAAAGAAAATTGCGATATAAAACATGTGATTCATACCATAATGATCCACGGATGTCACAGAATATAACTGTACAGCAGAAACAAGCACAATATGTCTTCTTTAAAGCAGTCAGAAAGAAAATCTGTATCCAGTTCATTTCAATAGGACATGTGCTTTATGCAGTTTGTCATCTACAGATATGGAGGAGAGAGAGGGCGGCCCAGAGGAAGCCCATGATATTTGAGATGTCAGACTGAATTAGTGTGAGCTCCTCGTTAGCGCACGGCTGCAGGGAAACATCACGGAGCAACGCACTTTTGGGTTTGGATGTGGACAAACTGCCGATTGATCCCATTCCCTGTGCATCCGGAGTCCAGGGAGCCAAGCCAGAGCAGCAGCAGCAGCGTGTTTGTGTGTGTGTGTGTGTGTGTGTGTGTGTGTGTGTGTGTGTGTGTGTGTGTGTGTACAGGCTGCAGGTTTCCACATGTGGGAGAAGTCAGCAGCCAATGTAAGTGGCTTAGACAAATAAACAAGACAGACAAAAGGGCAAGAGTCACATTTCCTTATTGATTACACGGGTGAAGTTTAATCTGATGCTTTTCTATCAGTGACTATTGATATTAATTTTAGTTTTTGATGAGGAAACATTATAGTATAGATCAGAAAGCAGCATAATACGGGCTCTTTAAATAATATTGCCCTATTGAATTGTTAGGTCATCTCAAACAGCAATAGATAACTTGTTTGAACCCCACATGTGTGACTCAGTGTATTTCAAAGAATCAAAGTATGTACAGTAACGATGTAATGATATCCAAATCTCACGGTACAATATGATCACGATATGCATCTCACAGTACGATATTTATTGCCATATTTTGAAGAGGCTGATATAATTGTAGATAGGACACTTTTTTGCTTTTAAAATACCTTGACAAGATTTTGGTGTGAATGAATTCCATCATAATCCCAAAAATTCAAGTAAAAAACATATTTATTCATGTTGTTTGCACTGAAATGAATCATGGGATATGTAGTTCTCAATGTTTATAAGCTGTTGTTACTATAAAACCATGCACTTAATCAAAGGAACTTGTAATTTGATATATTGTGAAAGTCCACGATATTATTGTGAGACTACTGACGATACGATATCACAATATTTTGGTTATTGATACATCCCTAATGTACAGGGCTTTGCTGAGACAGAGGTTTTCCCATAAAACCAGCTTTCACTGTACTGTGGTTAGTAGTAGTACAGTAGTTAGTACATAGTATATAGTACATGTATAGTAGGGATGCACCGATTCAATACTTCCTTAATATACTCTTACTCATTAAACATTTGTTGATACCGCGCACCGATACCACTATTACATGACACATTACGCAGTATCCTGGTTTCAGTATCCCAGTTATGAGAAACCGGTAGCCAATATAAATAAAGTGAAATGACTGTAAAATAAAGAGTTGTGCTGCACATGTATGATCTCTGAAACGTTTACCACGAACCATCTCCAACGCGATACACGCACAGAACAGACTCACCATCAGCAGCACATCCTCTGTCGCAGAAAGAACACTCACATTCCACTGAGTCGTGTCCTTTAGTCCGACAGAAGCCGAACCGCATCAGGACATACGGAGTGAGCTGTTGTTTTCAGAGCTTATAGTTTATAGTTTAGCCACGTGGTTTTAAGTTTTGTTTCGGTAAAACGTAAACAAATGTGCGCAAAGCTGCATTAAACACATTATAATATCACGGCTGTTTGTATTTTTCCTGGTTTGTTAAATATATAATGTTTGTGCTTTTGCGCATTTGTAAGATTATGTCAAGTAAGCGGGATACTACATTTGATCATGTACACAGAGATATGAGTGTAAACATCAGATCCCAAATACTGCCATCACCGGGAGACTGATGTGCATGTAAACTCACTCATTGTATGTTCAAGGTACTCAATATCAGCAATACAGAAATCATTATACTCATACTCGGATCGGTTTTCAAAAAAAGTGGTATCGATGCATCCCTTATGTACATTTCCCACCTGTGTGAGCTTGGTCTTTCCTCCCCCGTCGATGAACTGACAGCGCAGATCCACAGACTCAGTGGGATAAGCCTCCAGCTCCTCCTCCACACGCACCTTCTGACCCACTGCACCTGCAACACACACAAACACAAGACTCGAGTTAGAGTTTAAACCATTTGAAACATGTTTACATCGGTATTTTACATGTTCTTTCCTGTAAATCAAAGTATATGTTGTACATGTAGAAGCGACTCCCAGATCAAAACTGAATTTCTATTTGTGTTTATTTATTAAAGGGACACTGCGGATTCCAAGCCAAGATAATGTAGAGACAAACATGCACTTATGTAAATATGCAGGACTGAAGCCAGAGCTAATTTCCATCTTTAGTCCTTGGCCCTTTGAATGGTTTCTCTCTGCCCTCCTCCTCTCCCTCGGCTCCATCTCTCTCTTCCTGTCCTCTCGCCTTCCCTAAGAAAGAGGGAGAATCATCTTTCTCTCTCTCTCCTTCTACTCTTTCTCCCACTCCCTCCCCCCCTGTATTGCCTTCTCTTCCTCTTTCTTTCTTTCTCTCTCCCACTCCCTTTCCCTCCTCTCTTTCTCTCCTTCTACTATCTCTTTCTACCCATTTTCCTCTACTCTCTCTTCCCTTCTTTCTCTCTTTTCCCATCTACTCTTTCTCCCACTCCATCCCTCCCTCTCTCGCCATCTACCCTTTCTTTCTCTTTCCTTCTCTCTCCCACTCTCATTCTCTCCCTCTCGCGCTCTCCGTTTACCCTCTCGTCCTCTTTCTTTCTCTCCCACTTCCATTCACTCCCTCCAACCCTCTCTCTATCTCTCTCTTGCTCTCTACCCTCTCTTCTTCTTTCTTTCTCTCTCCCACTCTCATTCACTCCCTCCCTCCCTCCCTAGCCCTCTACTCTCCCTTCCCTCTCTTCCTCTTTCTTTCTTTCTCGCTCTCTCCCACTCTCATTAACTCCCTCTCCCCATCTCACTCTCTCTCCCTGTACTCTCTCTTTCTTTCTCTCTTTCTTTCTTTCTTTCTCTCTCCTACACCCATCCACTCCCTCTCTCCCTCCCTTTACCCTCTCTTCTTCTTTCTTTCTTTCTTTCTCTCTCCCACTCCCAATGACTCCCTCCTTCCCTCTCTCAGCTTCTCCGTTTACTCTCTCTTCCTCATTTTTTTCTCTCCCTCTCTCACTCCCTCTCGCTTTCTCCCTTTACCCTCTCTTCCTCTTTCACTCTCTCTCTCCACCTCTTTCTTCCTCTTTCTTTCTCTCTCTCTCCCACTCTCATTCACTCCCTCTCTCCCTCCCTTTACCCTCTCTTCTTCCTCTTTCTTTTTTTTCTCTCTCTCACTTTCGTTCATTCCCTCTCTCCATCTCACTCTCTCCCTCTACCCTCTCTTCATCTTTCTTTCTCTCTCCCGCTCATTCACTCCCTTTCTCCACCTCTCTTCCTCTTTCTTTCTCTCTCTCTCTCCCACTCTCATTCACTCCCTCTCTCCATTTCGCTCTCTCTTCCTCTACCCTCTCTTTCCCTTTCTTTCTCTCCCACTCCTACTCACTCCCTCCCTTTACCCGCTCTTCTTCCTCTTTTCTTCTTTCTATCTCCCACTCACTCCTTCTCTCCTCCCTCTCTTGCCCTCTACCCTCTGTTCTTCTTTCTTTCTCTCTCCCACTCCCACTCCCTCCCTCCCTCCGTCTTGCTCTCTCCATCTCTCTTTCTCTCTCTCTCTCTCCCTCCTCACACACTTCCAGCACACAGCAGGACGCCGCATTCACCCAAATTCACAGACTCCCCAAAATAAAACCGACAAAGCCCGAAAAGCGCAGGTTTTCCTCTTTAAACCCTCACACGGGTCTCGTTTGTTTGCACGACCCGCAGGAAGTGAATCTGCATCATCACAAACCTCTTTTTTCAGCGTGTTTTAAATGTGTGTTTTCGTCGCGTCATGTGAAGAATCGTTCATTAAAGGCGTTGTGGTTGAAGGCAGCTGCCCCTGGTCTCACTGCGCTAAAGCCAGCAGCCTCCGCCACAAAGCACTTATTAAAATCAGATACATTTATAAAGCGCGGCGTTTTCTTGAAAATGAATCCTTAATGAAGTTGTGGAAAAGGCACACAGAAACGCAGCGAGGTTAGTAATGGTTTTCTGGACTAACACTTGGATTTTTAAATGGCTATTTTATAGTAACAAACTGTGTCATTTAACGTTAAAGAGAGAGTGTTTTACTTCTACAGGGATTTAATTGTGAACATATATTTAGATCACTATGTTTACGTTTATTCTTTTGAAAATGCTAGAAAACAATGCATCAACAAGTTTCATTTTGGATGCTCTGAGACTCCCCTTCCTGTGCTCCCTGTGTTAAGTTACTCCCCCTTCAGAGCATTATTAAAGCACAATCGGTGCGTGTGTATCCCTACTGCACATCAGATCAGGTTTGTCAAGTTGCTGTATACAGTTTTGTGCCATGTTTTTGTATATTTATGGAGAATTCCAATTGACTCATGGGCAACCATAAGGAGGGTTTGAATAGGGCCCTGGAGAGATCACTCCATCCATCCAGCAGTATAAGCAGGGACTCCCAGACTTCCTTCACCCCAGACACTTCCTCCAACTCCTCCGGGAGGACCCCTAGGCGTTTCCAGGCCAGCCAAGAGATATGGTCCTTCCAGCGTGTCCTGGGTCTTCCCCGGGGCCTCCTCCTGGTGGCACATGCCCAGAAGACCATCCGAGGAAGGCACAGGCGCCCAGGAGGCATCCGGAACAGATGCCCGAGCCTCAACTGGCTCCTCGAGACGTGGAGGAGCGGCGGCTCTACTCTGACCTCCTCCTGTGTGACTGAGCTCCTCACCCTATCTCTAAGGCAGAGCCCAGCCACCCTGCGGAGGAAACTCATTTTGACCGCTTCTAACTGCGATCTTGTCCTTTCGGTCATTACCCAGAGCTCATGACCATAGATGAGGGTAGGAATGTAGATTGAGCGGTAAATCGAGAGTTTTGCCTTGTGTCTCAGCTCCCTTTTCACTACAATGGTTCAATACAGTAACCGCATCACTGCTGACGCTGCACCGAGATGCATGTATGGATGCATGGATGACATCTAGAAGAGATGAAGAGATGACATCTTCAGGCATGTTTTTGCATAATATTCCCTCTTAAATGTATTTTGTATTCATTAAATGTCAAAATTTGTTATCTCTGTAATTCATATCTACATGAAACAGAAATTGGCACAAACTTCAATGTCTTCTAAGTACAAATGAACTATGGTGAAATTCTTATTTTTCTTACTATCAGGGCGATAAGTGCTGACACAACTACTGTACAGGAATCTTATAAGTAAAAAACAAACAAAACAATAATATGGCCTTTTTATCCTCATTCATAACAAAATTTAAAGGTGTTAAAATGATTCGTCTCTGTGTAAACAAACAGAAAACATCACCTGGCAAAGGTACAGATCAGATCTGTAGAGAAACAACCTCGATTACAGTAAGAATGCATCCCTTGAGGTTTTGTTGAGCAAAAACAAATAAGAATGTATGTTTTATACATTATTAAATAAAAGCTACATGTGGAACACTCCAGACAAAGGAGACAAGCAGGCAAACGTAAACTTCTCCAGAAAAGTTACACAGGGCAGCTTTAATTCAGTATGCAACAACCGGTCTTATATTAGATCTTGGTTTTGCATGTGTTCTACATCGTGTACAGTGTATGTATTAGTGAACAGCGCTCCAGCTGCTCTGTAAATATGTCTGCACAGTGTTTGGTCAAGTGCTCTACAAAATGTTTACCCAGCTCCAAGTATCATTTACTCACCAATGTAAAGCAATGAATACATTTAGCTTTTATTCTTGCCTCTGTGGTACTGTTGAGAACTGTTGGTTTAATATTCAGAATACGTATTTTCATGTATTCAGTTACTTCCCAACACTGCAGCCAATTAAGGGTCCAATATTACGCAAAATTGACTCTTGTGAGCTCGGAGCCATGTTATAATGTTGTTACCTCCTCAAAAACAGACCTGGAGTTGAGTTGTGTTTGTTTTGTTTCATTTACACATGTTAGAATATTGTTTCCCATAGACTGGTGGGTCACAAGAGATTTTTTTTTGGGGGGGGGTCGCCTTGTCACGATCTGCATGTAGGTCTCCAATATTCAGTTCTAGGGATCTGTGACCTTGGATAATCATTTCATCAGATTATCCTGTCCTCAGTAGGACCAGTGTTTCTATGCTTATTCCTTTCACTAATACATATATATGTTACCTGGGATTTTCTGTGCTCACAAAAATGAAGACAAAGCGCAGAAACAAACTGAACACTGCTCCTGATCTACGTTTTGCCCTCTCCTCCTTCACCTCAGACTGGAACACGCTACAAAAACGCAGACAGGTCCACCTATCTCATGAGAATCGCTGAAATGTTTTGCATAATTTCTAATCTTTTTGTAATTATTTTATTGACTATTTTGTTCCAGTATTGCTGGTCCAATTGAATGTTGAAAAGAAAAAGAAATGGGCTACATTTAATGTCCATATAGGCGACTTATGGATCCTTTTATTGCTGGTTCAGTTACTGTTTTTTATCCCTGCCGAGCCCTGATGAAGACCAAGTAGTCGAAACGCGTTGACGTGACTGTTAAATTCACCGCAAATCAGAGTGCCTCTACCATCCTTCTTTCTATTCCAATCTTAGAATCTAAGCCCTCCGGTTTGATGAGCACCTGTATGCTTAAGTTTTCTGATCCAGTGTAGCGCTCCAATTTTGTTATTTTTTACTCTTTTTTATCATTTAAAACTTGAGTAATACTAATTTTCCAGAGAGACACGATCACTCAGTCAACAATAAAATATCCTCATTAATGTTCAAGAATGGTCAAACCCACCTTTATTTTGTGATTTACAAATAATGTGTATTGACTTGGGTCGCAAACGTTTGTGATTTTTAAAATACGGACCCAGAAAAAAAGGTTTGGGGAAACACTGTGTTAGAGTAACCCTTTAGTCCAGCTCAGGGGTGGGCAAACTTTTTGACTTGTGGGCCACGAGGGGTTCTAAAATTTGACAGAAGGGCCGGACCAGGAACAGATGGGTGGAGTTGTTTGGTAATCCATCGCA